TCTTCCTCGTCTTCTTGTCACTTCTATCCTCCCCTCTATCTTTCCTTCAATAACTTCTTTTAGAAGGCAGTTTCTTTGTAAAACACGACCAATCCAATTAGCCTCCCGTTTTCTTATTTCATGTAGGATATTCCTCTGCTCACTGACTCTAATTAACACTTCTTCATTTCTCACATAATCGGTCCAACTGATCTTCTCCATCCTTCTCCAACACCACATTTTGAAACTTTCCAGATGTTTCGATCTACTGCCCTAAATGTCCATGTTTCAGCCCCAATTATTATATATAGTGTGATTATATTTACAATATCACCATGATTCAAGGTTGAAGAAAAAACAATAGGTAAGTCCTTTGGAATTTCATAACACATACAAGGTGCGGCAATAAAGAAACCGGATTCATGCTCTAACCCTTTATTGAAAAAAAATCAGACAATCGAAATGTTATCCCCTTCAGTGTGGTCCCCTCCCTGATCCCTACACCGCTCCATGCGAATTTTCCACTGTTGGAAGCAGTGCTGCAGGTCATCTTGTGTTATGCTCTTCAAGAGTTGCGTCGCTTTTGCTTTCACTGCATCCACGGACTCGAACCTGGTCCCTTTCAGCGCAGACTTAATTTTCGGGAAGAGAAAAAAGTCGCACGATGCTAGGTCCGGAGAATACGGTGGATGTTTCATCACTGGAATGTTGTTTTTTGCCAAATACCTCTTCACAGATAGCTCAGTGTGTGCTGGTGTGTTGACGTGATGAAGAACCCATGAGGCATTCTTCCACATGTCTGGTCTCCTTCGTCGCACACGTTCACGGAGGGTCGTCAAAACATTTTTATAATAAACCTGATTGACAGTCTGACCTTCAGGCACCCAATCAATGTAGATTACCCCCCGGATATCGAAAAAAACAATCATCATTGCTTTGAATTTGGACTTGCTCATGCGCGCTTTCTTCTTCCTAGGGGATTTGGGGCTCTTCCAATGCATGGATTGTCGCTTAGTCTCTGGATCATATTGAAGAATCCAAGTTTCGTCACACGTAATTACGTTTTGGAAGAAATCAGGATCATTTTCAATGTTTTCAAGAGTGTCAACACAGCAATTCACTCGATGTTCCTTTTGCTGGGGGGTAAGGATTTTTGGCACCACTTTAGCACACACCTTTTTCATGCCCAGATCGTCGTGCAAAATCTGTCTAACACTTTCCTTATTGATGTTCGTAAGTTCAGAAATTGCTCGAATGCTCAGTCGACGATCTCTTCGAACAATTCTAGCGACCTTCTCCACATTCTCTGGAGTTTTCGCAGTGGGAGGACGGCCCGATTTTGGATCGTTCCCGACGTTTTTCCTACCCTCCATAAACTTCTTAAACCACTCGAAAACTTGCGTGCGAGATAGACACTGATCACCATATACTTCTGTCAACAAATTGTAAGTTTCAGTGGCAGATTTTCCAAGTTTTGTGAGGAATTTGATGTTAGCACGTTGTTCTGCATTAGCACTCAGCATTATTCCGACGGAGCTCAGAAACACGATCCGCTTCTAACAATGGTCGCGGCCAGACTAACCGATGCACGTGAATGAAACTTTGTGTGACGGTAGAGGGAAGTCCAAGGGTCAATGCCCTACCCTCCTCTTCGTCAATGACGTGGCCGGAAATGAGTCATAAAAGTAATCCGTTTTCTTTATTGCCGCACCTTGTATAATAAAGATTATATTTTGCATTTCATGACAAAATGTTCACAGTAAATTCTAATTTGTAAAACTTGCTCTTTTATGTATATGCAGAAAATTTTATTGTCTTTCAGATTTTTTTAGTTCATATTTCTGTGTTGCATGGAACGGAAAATATGCATTTTTCTGAATGATTGCAGTGATAATTAATTAGGGTGATTTAAATTCTGGCTGTACAGGGCTGCTGGCAATTTAAAAGTCCGTACGTTAAAGGTTAATGGTATTGAACACATACTGTCTTACCACACCACATTGAGCTTAATCACATTTTCTACGAGAATTTTGCATCTGGCGAATTTTTATCAAGGGACATTTTTCTGTTAATGTTCATCAGGGAATCACATAATGCAGTCCTTGTTCTTGAATAGCCATACTATGTAAGGACATTATGTTCAGTTTTCATGACGTTTTCCACTAGAATGATGTTTTGGTCAGAATTTTATGAATGGACATTTTTATCTCACTGTTTATCAAGTGGCATTTTTGTCTCAATGTTCATCAAGGAGTCACCTGGTAGTGTCCATAGACACTAATTTATGGACACCTTTACAGTGAAATTTGTCCTCTTTCAGCAAGAGCTGAGAATGGGAGAACTAGCGCTCAGTTGTATGTGTGACCTGCTGGTGGCACATCCTTACTTCAACTTCTCTCATAACCTGGTGCAGCTATTGGTTCCATATCTGAATCATCCCCTACCTTCTGTGCGTCAGCTTTGCTCCAACTCAGTCTGTACTGTATTCAGGAATGATAAGCGAGGAGAAATATCTCTTGAGGTAAGAAGTTTACATGTGAATACAAAAGAATTTTAGATTGTGGCATTTTCACCATAGCATGTCATGTAGACAATACAACAGAGAACCTTTGTTTCTGCAGTCCTGAATTTTGTGTTTTTCATGAATTATTCATTTTTGCATGGTCCTGACCCAGTGCCCCCATAACAGAATATTAAATTCCAATGAATTTTTATGATTCCACAGTTTCATGTTTTGCACTTCATTTTTCTGGTCCTGACTACAAAAATATGCCCGATTTGACATTTTATAGTTCAGTTCTCAGAATTTCTTGTTTGAGGCAGAGGACTTCCTTCCTTGTTAGCAGACGCAAATGGTTCAGTCTAAAAATACATACCACCAATTGTCTGATGCACAGTTGCACACTGTATGACTACTTCAGTAAGGTCTGTCACCCATGAGGGGTTTTTCCCCCACTATAGTCCAAGCAGCTCACCCATTAGACCAGCTTTGATCTTGTTCCATCTTAGTATAATTGTAACTCAAGGAGAGCGGTGTGTCTCTCTCATGTCTGATAAGTGTTCCAAAAAATGACCATTGCAGCCCAGTGAGTATATTCATAAGTGAAACATTCAAGAGAAATGCACCCAGGCTACTTTTCTTCGATCTCCCAATGCCCATGCAACTTCACTTCATAGTGACAACATTTTATTGTTTCACAGCAAGAGGATGAAATATGGATAATAAAGGAAAACGGAAATCATTTATAATATGTGATAAAATTAATTTTTTAGCATGAGATGATGCACATATTGGCACATATGTGAAACTGGCATCACATTTTATACTGTGAGTGTCCATGCTAAGACACTGTTTTGAAGAACGAAGAAGAAACTGAAAGAAGATGCATCCAGTGTGGACCTTTCTCCAAGCAGTGGAAATCGCTGAAACATTAGCAACTGGAGGAACTGGAATCTATACTTGGTTCGTGGTTCAAGCAAGGAAGTGAGAGTAATGCTTCCATAAATGGCACCCACCTGAAGAAAAAGGCCCTGCACATCACGGCTTATCTGGGAATAGCCATCTTTTTAGCTTCCAGTGGATGGATTGTCAGATTTAAGAGGAGACACAGCATTGTCTACAGAACTCTTATCAGGTGAGAGCAGGAGTGTTGATGCAGAAACTAGAAGACCCTGTGATATGCATAATGCTGATGAGACTGGCGTATTTTTCAGTATACAACCTAGAGTACATTCACTTCTTGAGGAGATTTTTGTCGTGGTGGTATAAAATCTGAGCAGTGGGTTACAGTTCTCCTCTCTTATAATGCTGACGTAGTGATAAACTGCCACCTCTTGTAACTAGAAAATTATACAAGTCCACATTGCTTCAAGAATTTCAAAGAGACTGCATACAAAATGTGAAGGTAAAAGTAAAGCTAAAGCTGTAACAGGCCTTGGAAGCCCATGGGGTTGTGAGATGTCAAGGCTCCCACATTTTATCTAGACAGTCGGCTCACAGATGGCAGTGATGTTGTCAGCCTTACGCACCAACAGCCCTTTACCCCAAGGAAGTTTCCTGGTACTCATTTCTGTTAGAGGCTGAGTTGACCCCAGGACTATAGTATGGCTGGAAGGTTTAGGTCTGTTGAAAAATCCATTTGACCTCATTGGGATCTGATCCCGCCACCTTTCAGCTTGTGGCATATTGCCTCAACCAAGTACACTACTGCATGCCCCGTACAAAATATTGTAACATGTTTCGTTACTGAAGACGCTGTAGAGATTGTTAATTTGTTTATTCAACAAACTACAAGTAACGGCTACAATTAATTATCACACAGTTGCGGGGTTTCACACTTTATAACCCTAATCGCAATAATCTGTTTACACTGTTGCGGGGTTTCACGATTTATAACTCTATTCGCAAATCAATTCACTCTGTCTTCAGTAGTCTACAAGTTTTCAGTACGGGAGCTATACAAGTGTCCCTGTATCACACACTCCCAAGTATTACTCAGTTACACACACATCCGGTTCTTCTTTCCGCGATGGCTGCTAGACTACAACTGTAGTCTGCTGACTGGAGAACTGCTGATCACACACTCACTGTCTCCGGGGATGGCTACACATTCACTCGAGAGCTGTAACTAACTCGTAAATTCGTAACTCGAGAACTAACTTGAATAGTCTTCGCTGCTCCTTATTTAGCACCATTCCGGACAACACAGAAAAAAACCACGTAAGATCCACCACTGTGTCTTGCGCTGTGTTGCTAACAACGCTGTCTGGAGTTGTCTCTCGCAACCACTGTTTACCCGCGTGTCATAGCGACCAGCGTGCTGGGACTCGGCTCGCTTCGGCTCCGCTCGGCGCGTCACCGCTCCCGGGGGGGGGGGGGGGGGGCGTCCAGCTAGCGTGACACGTCACACTGCTCCCTCCTTAAGGCTGTTCGTCCCAAATAGCCTAACGGTGTACCCCTGTTCCTTTTCCTTCCCGTAGCTGTGCCTGCAGTGTCTCCTGTTGTTTCGGCTACTCTTCTTGCAGCGACTATTCTTCGTCCATTACATCTGCTCTCCTCTTAAGACAAAGCTCGTCTCGAGCGGTTCCCTTTTAACTTGCCAGAAGATCCAGTTCTATCACACTCATTCGTGACACATTCAATCTTTCTCGGGAGGCCGGTTCTTCTACATTACCGGTTCCTCCTCTGTGCTTTGCTTCTTTTTCGTTTTGGAGGGGGTCGACACCTCCATAGTATCCAGTTATTGATGTTTGCATCTGCTGGGATTCCATGCAGCACGTCTGCTTGTGCACTTGCACATGCGTCGAATTTCCCTTTCAGGACTAGTCCTTGTGTCCTCCTCTCATGTTGAAGTCCTTCTTGTGCTTTCTTTGACAAATCTTTATGTGGGCTTGTGCGTGACTCCAACTGATCTCCCTGAAATCTGAGTCTCTTGCGCTGTGTCACATTTGCACAGCTAGTCATCTTCTTGTCGGCAGCCAATTTGTGCCACTGTCCACACTTTACTTGGGTCAAATTCCTGAGGATGTTCCTCTTGTGCCATGCCACTGTTGCACGGCAGGACACCTTCCTGCAGGCGATGGCCAACTTCATCTGGGGTCCATGACTTACTCGTGTCGAATTCTTCAGATTTCGATGATTTCGGTCCCTACGACTTTTCTTCTTCGGTTCTCCAACCGGCATTACTTCGGCGTCTTTTACGGGTACCTCTCGTAGTTCTGCCGCCTCAGGTTTCCTGTGCACTGAGGCTGGCTTTTCCCCTTCTGGACGTGCCTCCATCCCTAGGCAGGCCATCGTTGCTCCGACCGGTATTATTATGGGGACCACTTCTTGTGCCGCCGCAGGTTTCGTGTCCACATTTCTTCTTGTAGACGTGCCTCCATCTCTTGGCAGTCCAACATCTCATTGTGGTTGGCATTCACCCTATTGTCTCTCATGGTGGCTGTCTCTTCTCACCATGCTTGTCTGTCAGCCTCCCATCTTGCTAGGAAATCTTCATTGTCTTTCTTTCTCTTGGCCTCCATTTCTTCCAGTATTAGAAATAATTTTTGCATATCTTGTTTTTCCATTTTATAGCGGTATAATTCGTTGAGGCGTGTTCAAGTTCGTAAACCTTCTGATGGTCACGTGTGTAAGTTCGATCCCACTTCTGAAACATCAGTTGTTACAATATGATGTGAGAACAAATTTTTGTATGACTACCAAAAATGTTTGAAGATGACCTCACACAGGTAAATAGAAAACTGGTTGCTAAAAATCGTGAAATCGTGCTTTTCAGCAATCAGCATGCTACCCATCTGAGGAACACCATATTTCTCAGCAACATCAAAGTTGTATTTCTCCCAGCTAATTTTACCAGCCACCTACAGCCTTTAGAGTTCAAGTGCCATCACAGAAAGCATTTGATTTGGAAGACTAGCCATAATGGATAGGGGTGTTTTTTTATGTGGGCCATGCTGAGATATTAATACCGGGAGGTTTGGGACTTAGTTAGTTAGTTATTGGAGAGGGTGGGTTTCCCCATGCTAGTTATTGGAGAGGGTGGGTTTCCCCATGCACTGAGACCTGTATTGGTCCATTGTGCTTCCCTCTATGATTTCTACCAGTCTCTATATCCTACCGGTACTGGTGCTTACCATCAGTCCCGCCCAGCCAGCGAGACCGGCTCTACTAGCTGAGAGGTATCTATAATGCTTCCCCATCTACCAGAAGTATTAGAGACTGCTGTTGGGCGGGAAATGTCCAGTAATTTGGCTCAGGGACCTCCTTTGGAGATATGAGGTTCTTTTACATGCCGTAAAGCTACGACATGGGACCCACGGCTTAAAGTCCCTCCTGGAGGACTTGTTCCCTGAATTTTTCCACCCATAAAAATTCGACGACCTCTGCCGGGTATTTGAACCTGCGTACTACGAGTCATGAGGTGGGAACATTACCTCTAGACTACGGAGGCTGCTGAGGTTTGGGACTTAGTCAGTTGATTGTGAATTCTATATGGGAGTGTTTGAAAAGAGGACTTGAGCCAGAGGTGAATCAATAGCCATTGTTGGAGCTGTTACCAGGAAATGTCTGGTAACAGACTGAGAACACTAGACTGTGTGCTGTGGTGAACTGTAAAGTGGAAATAGGCAGTAGTGTTTTGATTATTTGTAGTTACGACCTGTAAGTGATCAGTAAATCGAGTTATCCAAAATCCCATCTATAGTCACACAAATATTACTTGGCAATATCATTTTCACTTTCATGATTTTACACCTTCCTCAATTTTACTCTTATCTTAGGTGGCCCCTTACCCTTTCCAGTCATAGCATTATTAGAAATTTTTGGAGCCAGGACGTCAAGCGTTTTTAAATGCCTGCCAATCCACTGAGTGAATTATTTTGCTTGAAAAGTTGATGCAGCAAGGGCACAACTTGTAAGCAGAATGTGTACTTACTTTTTCAGTTGTCCAATTCTTGGACAGTGAAACTTCACTACTGTCAGTGAAGAGGTGGTAGTCTTCAGTATCAGACACACTGAATCCTAGCCTGTCCATCAAGGAAAGAACTATGAAATAAATGGTTTTTCAGAGTATGGAAAGTTACACACATTGCATGTAGGTTTTCTGTAATTTGGAATTATACTGTGAACATAACCTCCGTCACTGTCAACTAATACCAATAATCTGATGCCCCACTTTGTTAGTTGTTTTGGATTATAAGTTTTGAAAATTATTTTGCTCTTGAACACAACTGTTGATTCATCTATTGCAATGTTTTTACCTGGCATAACGTTTTTCTGAAACTGTTTCTCTGTATGTTCATCACCCCATGTACTTTCTTTGAACTTTTGATGGTCCGATTGCTTTCTTCAGTGGTATCATTTCCCCACATACTTCATCCAAAATATATGTAAAAAGCAATCTCTGGACATTACGTCACCAAAAAATTTTATCTATGTTTTCCTCTCAATATACCAGTAGCCATTTATGTCTGGTAATAGGATTAGACCCATATTTATAATTTGACCTAAAAATTCCTTCACTTCATGAACACACATCAGACCACCTACTCCAAATGGACCATGGGCTTGGCTGAAGTTTGGCGATTTTGCGTCCCCCATACCTGTTTGCTGCTATAACAATGCTATTCGAAAGCTTATTATTGAAAAATAAAATAAAATAACCCATTGGCTCTGCATGTTTAATAAATACGTATGCCTTGGGTTTCTTGTTGCCCATTATCATGTCTTCCCACCCAAGAACATGCAACAACACTTGTTTCACTCTCTCACTTTCCGACATTTCATTGCTCGATTCATCATTTGCAGTTACTCCTTCAGTTTTCAAATGCATCTCATCATCAGAGTCAATTTTGAGTTCTTCATTTAACATATCACTAATAGGTTCTTCATCCTCATCACACAAGGGATTCTGTATCTGATTTTTTCAATCCAGAGGACTGAGATTCAGTCGAATATAAAAGGAAGCTGCTAACAAGGCCGCGCCATAGCTCAAGCAGTTAGTCGCTGGCTTCCCGCCATGGTGGCCCAGGTTCGATCCTGGGGTCTGGTCAAGTGGGATTTGTGGTGGACGAAGTGGCGCTGGGGCGGGTTTTCTCCAAGTACTTTGGTTTCCCCTGCCAATCTTCATTCCACCAAATTCTCCATCATCATAATCATCCAGGGCAGGCTACAATAGGCCAGTCAGTGGCCACTGTGCCGAGTGAACCCAGTTGGACTCCACCCTCACTAAGCAAATTAAAAAAATTAAAAAAAAAAAGCTGCTAACACATGACACGCTGTAATATGTAAATGGCATTTGTTCCTGGAGAAGTTCAAATTATGAATTCCAGATGGCAGAAGAAGGGAGACAAAACATTCATGAATGTGTTTGCACAGAGTACAATGGCCAGTCATGACATACGACAGGTGAATGTTGATCATATATCGACATTCACCCGTGGAAGCACTGTCAGCATGTCAATTACGTATTGACATATGACCAGAAAGGGTTAAAGAGTGTAAAATTAAAGTTTCACTGTAAATCTCCGCTGTTATTTAGAGCCCACATTAAAAACTGTAATGTCCCTATTTGAGCTGTCATTTTCACCCACATCTTATCATTGTAAGCAGAGTTCTCAGAATTATGCTTCTCTATTTCCTGATGATGAATACACATTTATCCACAATCTGTATACTTACTTATGGTTTATTTAATGTTGTTAGAGACTATATAGCATCATGCCACAGTCAAGATGTACTTAAAATTTAATAAGTGATGTTGGAATTTTCAGTTTCCGTTACAGAACTCAAAGTTGTGAAATACATTTAGTTATTAGGTACATTTCCCATGTTTTGTTTAGGCTGTTAATCACTTTTTGTCAGATCCTTATGTATTACTCCGTATTATTAACAGCACAAAAGTATGATAGGTCACACGTTGGCTTCATTGATGGTCATTTGCAGAACATGGTGTGAAATGTAGCTGTATTCACTAGTGCATTCCCATTAGTTATTCTGTATTTTACTCTAGAATGATATAATAATTTGTATGATGCTGTGTTAGTGGGTTTTTTAAGTGACTTGTAGATTTAAGTTGTATTTTTGTAAGCATGATTGCTTTCTCCTACATTGGACTTTCCAACTGAGAAATGGGTTCCTTACTTGGTGGGCAGTCAGAGACCGGGAAGATACATAAGTTCTTCACAGAGAAATTTGTAAAATTTGTGTTCATGTCCACAGAATTGATCATAGTTCATTACATCCAGTGATTAAAGAGATATCAAGGAAATTTTATTTACTTCATTAATCCCTTCACGGGTGGCTGAAAATGTTACTTTGTGTTCCCTAAGACACAATATACAAAGGGTGTTGCGTATATAATGCCTCCTATTTTTTGTGTTAATATGTAATGTCTGAGCTGGATGTTGGTGGTGTTGTAAAGGTTGAACCTTCCCACCAGAGTACTGTTACTTTCGTTGTCGTGCGACAAATAGCGACAGCAGAGCAGGCTACAAAAATGGCGTCTGACATAGAAGTGCATATGAAACAGAGATGTGTTATTGAATTTCTCACTGCTGAACAGATTGCACCCATTGACATCCATCGATGCTTGCTAAAGGTGTACGGAGACGATGCATTGGATGTCAGCACAGTGAGGCAGTGGGTAGTGTGTTTCAACAATGGCGAAAGAGAAATGCACGACAAGCCACGCCCTGGGCATCCCTGCTCAGCTGCCACTCCACACAATGAACAGCGCCTTGATCAGCTCATCTGTACAGATCGGCAGATAATGACCAGGGAACTGTGTGCACGGCTTAATATTGGCTGTAATGCATTGGAAACAATGTTGGGGAAGCTGGATTATTGCAAAATTTGTTTCAAGTGGGTCCCACGGATGCTTACACAGGACCACAAAACTCATCGAATGGATGTCTGTCAGGATGTGTTACACCAGTTTGAGGCTGAGGTGACAAGTTTCTGCACAGCATCGCCACCAGAGATGAGACATGGTGTAACCACTACAAGCCGGAATCCAAAAGACAGTCCATGGAGTATTGACATCCAGATTCCCCAAGAAAAAATGAGTTCAAGACACAGCCATCTGCACGGAAAGTGATGTGCATAGTCTTTTGGGATAGGCAGGGTGTGATTTTCTTGGATTTCGTGGAGCCTGGTCAGACTGTCAATTCTGAATGCAACAAGATGACAATGACTACGCTGAAAGCCCACATTTCTCGAGTCAGGCCAGAGAAGCAGACAACCTTTCGCTTGCAACACAACACTAGACCCCATACCAGTTTGGCGATCACTGTGCACATTGCCAAGTTTGGCTGAACTGTCTTACCACATCCACCTTATAGCCCTGATTTAGCACCTTCAGACTTCCATCTCTTTGGGCCTATGAAAGATGGACTACGTCGGCAACATTTTCCAGACAACGATACTGTCATTGCAGCTGTAAGAAAATGGCTAGCTTCTGCTGGTGCAGACTTTATGAGCACGGCATACAGGCTCTTATTCATCTCTGGCAAAAGTGCATAACAAATGGTGGTGATTATGTGGAAAAATAACTGTAAGTAGCTGAAATCTTGGTCTGTTTAACTGCGTTATTATGCTTTCTGTATCTGTTGTAGTTTTCATTAAAAAAAATAGGAGGCACTATATACGGAACGCTCCTCGTACATCATTATTGCATTCATAACAAATGGGTCCATCTGTCGCTGCTATCATCTGAGCGACACAAGGACAATGTGCAAAAGCTGTCAGCCTGGAAAAAACTTTGGGATGTACACAGCACTGAACCTAGAAATTTTTGAGGGATAGATTGTGAGTAAAAAAAAAAATTCTTGGAATGCCTCTAGGGATTAATAACTAGAAAATTCATAGATCATATGATGCTCCATTTCTCTTTCAGATTGTACGTTGCATCAACTGTCTTGTGAAGTCTCGGTCACATTCTGTTCACCCTGAAGTTCTGAAGGTTTTGTTATCACTGCGTATAAAGGAAATTAATCTTGAAAAAGAAAAGGAGGATGAACTGAGGCAAAAGAAATTTATGAAACATAAACAGAAGCTTCTTACAATGTCCAAAAAAGAGCGCAAGGTATTGTATTGGTATGAATAGTAAGACCTTTGAAAATTGAAGTAGAACACTACATATAAGTTCCTGAGAGAAGCCTTTTTATTTTATTTGTTAATGTTAAATTTAACAATGCTGTTAATAGCACATTATATTGCATTGAGTGGTCAGTGGATAATGAATTGGATTTGGAAGGAAGTGGCCGTGGCCAAAGAATCCCAGTCAGTATAACCAGTCTCCAAGTCAAGAGTTGAACATATGACCTCCTAAATACAAAGCAGGGGTGCTATCCACAGAACTGTAACATTTAAAGAGAAGTTTATTTATGACTCATATGAGTCTAGCTTTTGGTAGGATAGGGAAACATCTTATGAATTGCATGCAAGCCTGTTGAAATAGGAACATAGTTGTTAGGTGCTAATAAAGATGTAGCATTACACTTCACGGAGTTCTGGAGCTTCTATTTTTAATCTCTGTCATGTTTTTCGATAATTTGTATCATATGCTTTAGGTGTGGATACTCACAGGTTGCTCTGAAACATCAAGGAGGATTTTTTTAAGACCCAAAGTCTTTTGCACACTGTGAAATGGCTGTAAATTAACAACTGTACTTGAAGGTTCTGATTTAAATTAAGGATATTAAAATAAACAGGGATTATAACAGGACATCCCCAAAAATTGTAGCTCTAGTACTTGGAGCTGACAGTCCAGGAAAAGCTGTGCCGTGGCTGGGCAGGTCCATTCGTGAAAGTTGAGGGGTGTTGTCATTAGTCATTCGTCTGCATTCAGTGCGAGTAGTCATGTCAAGAGTATTCTTCCTTGTACAGTCAAGTTAAAAGTTTTGACTGTAGGAGTCATATTTGAGTGTATTATTCTGTAAATACTGCATTAAAATTGTGGCAAGTTACCTTATGTCCATCGCTGTGCAACGGCTACAATGGAAATTGTTGAGTTCCAACAGCGACAAGTCGAATACAAACAGACCGTTACGAAGGAGCGTTCCCGAGGCAACGGATTGCCGAACACATGAGTTTGGAATAGGCACTTCCATACCATAGTAACGCAAATAGCGGAGCCGTTGCATAGACAGTGCAGAAGCAATGAACGCGTCTCCCCAGAAATGAACTACAGAGAGTTTGTTGTGCCCATTACGTAACAGCGGACAGTAGAAATGAAACAGTGAGGAATGGTATGTGGTATCTAGTCTGCAGAACACCTACATAAGCTGAGAGCTACAGAGAAAGACTGCACTGGCAAGGGCCAGCAGCACACACAAAAGGCAGACCCATCCTCTCATCACAGAGGGCGCCCCACAGAAACAAGACCGTATTTGTTAAAGGTAATAAATATCTGGTCATGAGCCCCAGGTATGGCTTGGCACCGAGACTTACTGACTGACTGACTGTCAGTTGCAATGTGACTTTGACTTTGACTTGACAGAAGACAGCAAGAAGTCAGTATTGGGATAGCTGTCGCTGAAGACAGTTGAGATCCAACCATGGCCAAAGATAGTGGAGACATCGCATTGAAGTATTGGGCCAGAAGTCAAGTGGTGACAGTGACAATATTTTATTTTATTGTTTATTTTTATTCATTGATTTTCTTTTTTGTTTATTTATATTTGTACATTTTTTATATCCTTTAACATGCCACCCACACGAAGTAAATTGAGTGGAAAAGTGTTGCATTCACAATCAAGAGAAATTGTTAGTAATGTAAGAAATGTAAATGAAAGAGGCTGGGCCAACAATTACAGTGAAGAACATAGGAGTGGAAGTAGCAAAGGCAACAGGTGTATCGGAAAGTAGTGTCAGAAGAATAAGAGAAACAAAAAAATATTGAATCTGGGGCTTCCACTTCCTTTTCGTCACCCCATAAAGAAAGACCTAGGAAATCTCCACTAGCCACTTTGGACGACTTTGACAAGTGTGTGGTGCGAAGAACAATTAATGACTTCTACATAATCAAAAAACGAAGACCTATCCTGAAAAAAGTTCATGAAAAGTTGAAGAAAACTTAAGATTTTCAGGGATGCATCTCCATATTAAAGAAAATTATTTTGAAACTGGGGTTCCGCTGGAAGAAAACAAAAAATAATCGGACATTGCCATTGTTGCCCCTTTAGAATAGACCCATGTAATATGTAAATAAACTCTTCATGTATATAACAGTGAAAAAGTGTATAATAGTGTATAGTGCATAATATATTCGGCACTTTTAACGTTGGATGTGTGAACATCAACAAGAAGAAACCACCATCACTATGCAACACAATGAGGTAAGAAGTTATTTCCTTTTGAGAACACCTGTACTGCATTCCCCGCCACACTTGTTGGCATACTGGAGCTCTCCCCGCCACTACCAGTACTTCTCCTACCTTGCGTCGGAGGACTGTCACCTCTAAGTACTAGAGCTATAAGCAGTTGGATTCACTGAGAACTTTTTTGAAAAAGTTGTTTGTAGGCTAAAGAATAGAGGGGAGAATGATTTTATAATATCCATTCAGGGAGCAGGCTCTGAGTATGTGAATATTGTAATGCTGTCTGTCTCAGGGTGTGATCCAGTGGTGAGTTTTTGTTCCTGCTGTGATGAACTTCCAAATTCCACAATCCCAGAAAATCGAAGAGTAATTAAGTTTTATTGCTGAACATTGTAGTATTGCAGTGAAGCACCTGACTTGCATTTAGGCCTTTCTGTCCTTACTGAAATTTGGTATGGTTTTTATAGCCACCTATGTTACCTGCTGTGTTAGCACCTTAGAATATGCTGCCACATCTTCCTACATTCATCCTGATCATACTGACATGAATTTGGCACTTCATGTTTTCAGTAATTGATACAGAAGCAAGAAATAATCAATCAGCAGTTATGTTTTATGTGTGTGTGTCTGCTTCAGTTAGGCTATAAATTTTTTATATAACCTCTGATGCTCAGTTTTTGTTTATGTAGAGAAGCAAGAAACTAGAGGAACTAGAGAAGGAACTGTTGGAGACTAAAGCAGAAGAGAATAAACAAGCCAAGCAGCAGTACCTCACAGAAGTCACCAAATTTGTGTTCACCATTTACTTTCGTGTACTGAAGAAAGCACCATCTTCTAAGATACTAAGCATCACACTTGAGGGACTTGCAAGGTGATTATATTAATGCTGGTTGTTATGGTCTCATTTTGCTTACAGTGCAATTTCAATATAACAATAATTTATAAAATTTGCCAAAGGTTGCTTTGATGGGTATTCATAATAACAAAAAAGACTTGAAATACACACACTTCAAGCCTGTTCCATAACCTCCAATTACATATATCACAATATGGCACTAAGATTTTAAAAAATGTGCATAATCCGTTAGTGGAACATGTGGTCCAAACCATTTTTTCTCATCACCTTTAATCTTACTGGCCATGTTTTGCATTATTGTGTTGGCATGTCCACAGTCCAGTTGGCCATGCATCACATTATTGTATCACCAAAATGCCTCTTTATTTGGAGCCAACCTGTAGTAGCTGTTACACTCTTAATGTTGTATTTCAGCATCCTGTTGCATTGTATTCTGTCCACGTATTTGTGCCCGTTTTCCTTTAACTTATACTACAAGTTCAAATTACAAATTTAATGTTTAATTTATAAGTTTTATTTATCCTATTTTCTCCAATATGTTTCAGCCTACATAGGCATCATTAGATGCATTGAAATTTTTTTGGTGAAACTGCTGCAATTTGTATACTGTCATAACACTTTTTTTCCCCAGTTTTATGATTCACTAACTACACGAAACAATGAAATACGCACAGCCACAAAAAAGTAAGTGTGCATTCAACTGCACTGAAAACGTCATCAGCATATTCCATACATAAATGCTAACACAGCTCAGTATTACATGGTGCATTTGTATATAATGCCTCCTATTTTTTGTGTTAATATATAACATCTGAGCTGGATGTTGGTGGTGTTGTAGTAAAGGTTGAACCATCCCGCCAATGTACTGTTAATTTGGTTGTCGTGCGACAGATAGGGACAGCAGAGCAGTCTACCAAAATGGCGTCTGACGTAGAAGTGCGTATGAAAGAGAAATGTGTTATTGAATTTCTCACTGCTGAACAAATTGTACCCATTGACATCCATCGACACTTGCTAAAGGTGTACGGAGACAATACAGTGGATGTCAGCACAGTGATTTGGTGGGTAGTGCGTTTCAACAGTGGCGAAAGTGAAGTGCACGACAAGCCACGCCATGGGTGTCCTTGCTCAGCTGCCACTCCTCACAATGAACAGTGCCTCATCCGAACAGATCAGCAGATAACGACCAGGGACTGTCAATTCTGAACGCTACAAGACGACGCTGACTAAGCTGAAAGCCCGTATTTCCCGAGTCAGGCCAGAGAAGCAGACAACCTTTCGCTTGCAACACGATAATGCTGGACCCCATACCAGTTTGGCGACCACCACGCACATTGCAAAGTTTGGCTGGACTGTTGTACCACATCCACCTTATAGCCCCGATTTAGCACCTTCAGACTTCCATCTCTTTGGGCCTATGAAAGATGAACTACGTGGGCAACATTTTCCAGACAACGATGCTGTCATTGCAGCTGTAAGAAAGTGGCTAGCCTCTGCTGGCGCAGACTTTTACAGGCGCAGCATACAGGCTCTTGTTCATCGATGGCAAAAGTGCATAACGAATGGTGGTGATTATGTGGAAAAATAGCTGTAAGTAGCTGAAATCTTGCTCTATTTAACTGCGTTATTATGATTTCTGTATCTGTTGTAGTTTTCTTTAAAAAAAATAGGAGGCATTATATACGGAACGCCTTTAGTACATGTTACAGGTACACCAACCACCAACACGCACTGAACACGAAAAGGAAATTATACTTCAAAATTCAGAATTTTATTATAAAATTGGAAAAAGGGTGTTAACAACAATGTATAAAGTGCAGCAGTTTCACCAGAACAGTTTCAGAGCACCTGATGATGGCTGTGCAGTGTGAAACATGTTGTGGAAAATATGACAGAGTGAAAGAATTAAAGAGTTTAAAAAAAAAATGAATTTTAAAAATTCCAGTGTAACTTATACTAGAAGTTAATATAAGACAGAAACAATTACATGAAATGATGCCCTTAATTTTCTCCACTTCATATGTATGTGATCCTTCTATTGATGCACTATTCACCCTTGTTCAGGTTTTTGTCAATTCTTAAATAGCATCTGAATGAATCAGGAGGAAGATGAAAATAAATAAGTAGAAGGCCACCATTGTTTTGGAAAAACTTCCATGGACTTTACCAGACTACTCGGCATTATACTGGAGAAGAAATTACTCTTCATAATTACTACTGTGAAAACTTCACATCAGCCTTCTGAGCATTGTTCTGACATTTGTTTTTGTGTGCTTCTGTATGTTCATGAGTGAGAGAGAGAGAGAGAGAGATTACCTATATGTTCATCTATTCCAAGGACTTCTATTGAAGAACATTATTCCAGTGGGAATAAATTTAAAATATATATTTTTCAGATATGCTCACTGCATCAACCTGGAGTTCTATGAAGACATAGTGAATGTGTTGAACCATTTACTGGAACATGAGCCACTAGGTTATCGAGAGCAGATGCACTGCATCCAGACAGTTTTCACCATTTTGTCTGGCCAGGGAGAGGTTCTCAACATTGATCCATTCCGCTTCTATGTTCACTTATACCGCAATCTTCTCTCAGTTCATGCAGGTAACTCCCAGACTACATTCAGTCGTAATCATTGTTTCAGATCTCATTTAGTATTACACAACCTCATCACTTAATATAGAATCATCAAATAATTTAATAACCAACGTGGTGCTACAGCTCAAAAAACTTAGCTGACCCCATGTAACAGGGTCAGGAAATTTTGTGCCTTTTATGGAAACCAAAGTTTCATTACTGTGTTCACAGTAGCATGCCACTGGACCATATACGTGGGTTATTTCAAAAGTCATGGCAACTAATTTTGGGGGGCAAACATGTTACAGTGAAGAAAATTCAAAATATACTTATGAAAGGGCATGATATACCCCTCCGATTGGATTAGTCAGATCAGGTAGATGTGAAGGGGCACAGGTATAGTAGGCAAGAAAAATTGCGCATTACGGAATGACTTTTTTTTTCATTCTTTAATCCTCGAAAAATTCAATTGTTATTAAGAAATAAAAAATTCAATGTGAGTTAAATCTGAATTCTTACATTACGACTAGCAACCTTCAAAGTAGTCTCCAAGTATATCAAGTACTCGCCGCCAGCGATGAGGAAGATGGCGAATTCCATCAGCTTCACCATCTCCAAATCTTGTCATTCATGCCGAACTGCGTTGGAAATGTTGTCTTGTGTACAAAAGCATTTCCCTCACAATGGCTGTTTCAATTTGGGTATTAAGTCATAGTCACATGGCGAAATGTTGGGTGAACATGGAGGATGGTGTAGTACTTCCCATCCCCAACATTGTAAACGATTCTTGACACCGTTTGCTGCGTGGGCAGTTGCGTTGTCGTGAAGGAAGATGACATTGTTAGAATGCTTCTATCCACCTTGCAACAGTTCTGTATGGTAGAGCACGCTCACCCAGAGCTTCCACAAGTTCTGAGTGACATTCAGTCGTATTTCTGCTGTGAAGCACTGCTATTTTCATGTAACAGTGCTGTTCCAGCTGGCTAACGTTCATTCTCAATGAAGGTTATGATCACACTGACTTCGCGCTGGACTCGCTTTGTTGTCCTTGGACTTCCACATCATCTAGCAGCATCATTAGAAATCAGACGTTGCTGTCTCTCAGCGGCAAATTTGGAAATTCCGGTCGGAGCTTTCGAAATTTCAGAAAAATTATGTTGCCATGACTTTTGAAGTAACCTATGTATATTGGTACATAAAATGTATACAGAAGTATGCATTTTATATACCTTGTTTATGACACCCAACAGGATGCATACTATTAAGATTCTATATATTGGGCAATTTGAATGCAGTCCACCCCCTCTTTTGTTTAGATCCATTTTAATACTATCCTCTCATGTGTGCTAAGATCTCCGTGGTATTCCTTCTGTGTGCATTTACTATCTTTCCCCTTATCAATTCTAGATACTCTAACTTTCCCACATTTTGATAGCTGTCTTTATATTATGATTTTGTCTCCCCTTATAATGATTATCCTCCTTAGTGATGTCGAGTAAATTTTCTGTGCTTTTAATTTTTAGTGTGTTTGTATTGCCTGATAAATGAACATCAGTGGCATAGACTAGATGCTGGTATGTTCTATTCACTTTTAATTCTTTCTGATTTTCTGTACCTTTGTAGTATAATGTAAAGCTATCCCTGTAACAGGCCATGGAGGCCCATAAGGTTGTGACATGTCAAGGCTCCCACGTTTTCTGAACATTTGGCTCACAGATGCTTGTGAGGTTATCAACCTTACATGCCAGCCATTCCTTATATCCAGGAAGATTCCTGGTACTAATTTCTGTTAGAGGCTGTGTCGACCGTGTTTGTATTGCCTGATAAATGAACATCAGTGGCATAGACTAGATGCTGGCATGTTCTATTCACTTCTAATTCTTTCTGATTTTCTGTACCTTTGTAGTATAATGTAAAGCTATCCCTGTAACAGGCCATGGAGGCCCATAAGGTTGTGACATGTCAAGGCTCCCACGTTTTCTGAACATTTGGCTCACAGATGCTTGTGAGGTTATCAACCTTACATGCCAGCCATTCCTTATATCCAGGAAGATTCCTGGTACTAATTTCTGTTAGAGGCTGGATCGATCCCAGTGCCATAATGCAGGTGGAAGGATTAGGTCAATTGAAAATCCAAGGACTTCATTGGGAGCTGAACCTGCAACCTTCAGGTTTGTAGCATAGTGCCGCAACCAATTACGCTAGCAAGTACCCCCCACTTTGTAACACTGTATTCTAAAATAAAATTGAAAATCAGTAGCACCAAATTATCTCTTTCTTTCACACCATTCTGAATCATATGAGACACTGAATCAGTATCAGTGTAAAGACTTAAATCATTGTAGTTGTTGGGTTCTGAATATGAAGCGTAACAGTAGTTGTGGCATATTGCTAGGGCATGTGGCTTACAACTCACATTGAAAAGACAACCTGAAGACTGCTGTCATTATCTGATTTCATTTGTGGCCTACTTATTCCCTCCAAGCAAATGCCAGTATAATATCTTTCAGTATAGTACAGTACAGTCTACACTCTATAGCTTTCTAGATGCACCATTCATTATCACTGAGACATTTCTCATTGCATAACCCATGCAACTGATGTGTGTTCTTTAAATTAAAAGAAATCAGCAAGAAGTAAGTTGATGATAAATTATCTCCTATTTAAAGCTACTTGTGATGACTATGTGTTATTGTCCATTTATGTTGTGGATGTTTTAATTCTGAATAATTTGCAATTTTTAATTAGGGAATGAATTCACATTTGGTTGTTCTTCGCTCATAGTTTGAATGTTTGTTTCTGTTACAGCATTGTAACCAGCCACATTCAGTTAAAATCATCAAGTTAAATGGGGAGGGTGTAATTGAAAATCTTTTAAACACTCTTCATAATCATAATGGTTGCCATTTTTTAATGAAAATTCATTTAATTCTTCATTTTTTGGTTACATCTAGGTTTTTCTTCTTTATATAAGTAAACTTTTTTCATTAGGTGATAGTCATCAGGACCTCCCAACTGTACTGAAGACTTTAGATTTAGCTGTGATACATCGACATAAAAGGCTCTCTCAGCAGCGTATGTTTGCATTTACAAAGCGGCTTGCAACATTGGCCATGCAGTTGTTACACAATGGCTCCATTAGTTGTCTGGCACTCATAAGAACCATTATGCAGGTATATATTTTAAAACTTGAAACTTGGTCTAAAGGTGCTCGCAGTTCTTCAGTGTGGATAAGTTAAAAAATCCTAATTTTATGTAATTTATGTAGTTATATAATTTTATATATTTTTCACCTTCATTAGCGGTAGAATGAATTTGCATGTTATACTTATTACAGAACAGTCTTTCCATCTTTTTAGATGTTTTCCTTGGAGTGTGTTTTCATTCTGAGGACTTATAGGACCGTCATATCTGTGTGTCTGCCCTATCCTAATAACTTTCAAAGCAAAAATGATGCTTTTTCACATATGACACCACTAGAGATGCTGCTGTCTTTGTACTTTTTCTTTAACATAACATGACAGCCATACAGTGAGTCTGGAGAGACACTGGTACGCTCAATGTAGGATTCTGATATTTGTAGTGCATAAATTGGTGCATTAAGTGATCTGTGTTTGCTGCTGTTCTGTTGCATGGAAACCATTTAATTCTTGATGCCATCAGTGTGTGGCACCACAGTTGCAAATAAAATAAAAGATGTATGTCACAGTCTTTCATGCTTTAATACCCCTTTGCTGGGGAAGAGTGAATGGATATTTAGGTATGTGCATGTGTGTGTGTGTGTTTGTCCACATGTGTGTCGGTAAATACATGTATGTACATAACATTGCTGGGAGCACATGGTAGCATAGTTGGTTGAGGCACAATGCTACAAGCTGGAAGGTTGCAGGTTCAAGTCCCGATGAGGTCATTGGATTTTTTTCAATTGACCTAATCCTTCCAGCCGCACTATGGCCCTGGGGTCCACTCAGCCTTGAACAGAAATGAGTACCAGGAATTAAATAATTTTCCTGTGGAGTAAGGTGCGTTAGGCTGACAACCTTACCGCCATGTTTGAGCCAATCGTCTAAATAATGTGGGACTCTCAATGTCTCACGGCCTGTTACAGCGATAGCTTTACTTTTTTTTTTACTTTTACATAACATTGCTATAATAAGTAAAAAAAGTAAAGGTATCTCTGTATCAGCCCTTGGAGGCCAATAGGGTTGTGAGATGTTGAGGTTCTGACATTTTGTAGACAATTGGCTCATAGATGGCGGTAAGGTTGCCAACCCCAAAGAATATTCCTGGTAGTCATTTCTGTTAGAGGCTGAGTTGACCCCAGGGCCAAAGTGTGGCTGGAAGGATTAGGTAAATTGAAAAAATCCAATGACCTCATCAGGATTTGATCCTGTGACCTTCTGGCTTGTAGCATAGTGCCTCAACCAACTACACTATCGGGTGCCCCCCATAATAAGTAGGCAGTGTTTTTATTTCAATGCATGAACCTTATATTAATGTTACATTCTTTGCAGTTACTGTAAATGACATTCTACATGTAATAGATGCATCAGTCTCAACATTTACATGTCAACTACATTACTGTCACTCAGACTTCAGTTTCAGATGGTAATAAATCTTTGGAGAATGCATTCTTCTTCATCTTCACCATGCAAATGCCTATGTTTATTTTATTCATAAGCAGGAAATGCACATTTGCTCCACCCTGTATCTAAAATAACCCATCCACCATTTGTCCCATCTTTCACATTTCTGTTCCTTCATTTTGACAGCAAGCTATCTTGGGAACCCCACTTACAACAGGTGTACTGTAAGTGGGAACTTACCCTCAGTATTTTAAGGGTTCTGACTGGATTATTGTAGGGCAAAGCTGGAATGAGGATGCTTCAGTTCCCAAATCATTTAAGTTAAGTAACACTGAATGTCTTACTGATATGTTGGGATTTTGGACTTTATCCATCGTCCTGGTTTTTAAGATAACAAAAACACGACGTTTCGGAAACTGGATCTGTTTCCGTCCTCAGGTGAAGGAAAACACCTATTCAGTTGGGTCCCTTAGAAAGAGCTAGCCTCAATCACTGGACGATCGTGATAGATGTTTTCCTTCACCTGAGGACGGAAACAGATCCAGTTTCCGAAACGTCATGTTTTTATTTGTTATCTTAAAAACCAGGACGATGGATAAAGTCCAAAATCCCAACATATCAGTGTGTTATACACCATCGTCAGAATCCTATAGTAACTACTGAATGTCTTCTCTTCCACCTTCATGACTGAAATGGTATTTTGATTTACATTGTGTAGGTATACAGATCAGTGGACATATTGCTGGACCCAGACTCATCTGTTGGTCAAGGAGTGTATTTCCCAGAGTTGGAAGACCCTGAATATTGCAATGCTAGCAATACAGCCATCTGGGAAATGACTGCACTGAAGCGCCACTATCATCCAGTTGTTTGCAAGTTTGCCTGTAATATCCTGCTTGGTGTCCCAGTAACAGGAGATGGGTACCTAGCACCAGAACTTACTAAACTGTAAGTGACTTAATCTTCACCATGGTCACTGCAGCTTTGTTCACACTTGTATTGATATATCAGGTATTCCGAAATTGTCCTTGGGTTTGCCATCATGAATCTGCAAAGAGTGAAGGTACAACAAAGTTAATCTCATATATGACATGCATTCCAGTTTCCATTGGAAAATGTTATGGAGTATTGCATTTTATTTTAATTTTTATAGTTTCTAGTATTCAGGATTTTGAACCTTAGAGCATATGCAGTTCATTTAACACCAATTATTTTATTTGTGTTTACAAGATGGTGCCAATTTTTTAAACATTACTTTGGTTAAATGCTTTGTAAACTTACATTTTCCTTTTCTTAACCTCTTGGTTAAAGCATAATTTGGTTCTTTTTAGGTCAGCAGAGGAATTATTCATTAAATATAATCCATCAGAAGTAGCATTTCAACCACCAGTTCCTGTTCCCAAGAAAATTGAAGCCAGGACCAATCCTTCAGTTACTATACACTTCAGGAATGAAGATCTGTTCAACTATGTGAAGGAAGTGTCAGAGAGGCATGTAGAAGAGACAGTAGATTTTAGCCTATTTAAAATGAGAGTGAAGTCTTGATTGCTGGTCATAGAGGCAGTTGTGATTTCTGGTTACACATATGCTGTAAGAAATTCTGCTGAACTATTAAATATGTACCCCACAAAGCTTATACCATATTTATTAGCATAGTTTACAACCTCCTACTTGTAGTATAATTTAAGAAAAAATTAAATACCCTATATTTACCCCAAGTTTTAGCCATGGATGTGTAGTTAAAGAAGTACAAATGCAAGCAAACCGTCATGTAATCTGAAACTTTGCATACAGCCTGGCATGTCAAGGCTTCTGAAGTAATGTGCACAAGCATTTGTGCTTGATCATTGATGAAATACAGGTACAAGGACTCACTGATGTCAGTGGGAATAGATGGTTAAGGCAGAAGAAAAGAGTTTGAACAAAGAGGCGCTCACTTTCTGGAAGGAATCTAAATCTGTGCCATCCATAGCTTTTTTTTTCCCACTGGATTCCATTTAGTATTGAAAAGATTGCACTAGATCAAATAATTTGAAGAGTGCCATCTTCTGGAATGTAGGTATTGTATAAACCGACGTTTTGGAGGAACATTGGTTTACACAATATATATGCAGTGCCACATTCCAGTGAGCCATATTTGCATCATGGCTTCCTTCATTCCTAATCCCCCCTCCCCTTTTCAGCTTTTGGTTCTACAAGTTGTATCGTCAGACCTACCACGTGATTACCCTTTCCCCCCTGCAACTGTTTCTAATTTGGTTGAGTCAGGAAGTAGGGAGTGGATGTCCACTCAGTGACGAGAAGTCAGGGTAGGCAGGTAACAAATTCTGTTCGGTCGTGGCCAATCTAAATTCGGTTTGGAGTGTTTCTCCCGATTGGGTAAGGGGAGTGTTTCTTGTGAATGTTTGGGATGAGTAATAGCCGAATTGTTGTTTTCAGGGAGCAATTATTGTATTTTTTTTTTTGTCTGCATAGCTCCGACCCTGTAAGTGGGTGTGTTCGACTAATGTTACTCGATGTAACTGTTTCAACTTTGCAAATATTGAATCAGTATTTTTCTTGTATTCTATTGTTTGTTTGCTAGAGAGGAGTAGTAGCCAAACTGGGAATTTCAGGGGGCAATTATTATATTTTTGCCTGGCACACCCTAAGTGGGTGTGGTCGATTAATATTATACACGACGTAACTGTTTCAAGGTCTCATTATTAGATCTGCATTTTCTTGTATTGTATTCTATTGTTTTGTGGAATTGTAGAGGTTCCAATAGACAACCACTTCGGAAAGTTTGCGGGCCCTCAAAATGGCTGTTGTTCCTTCGTAGTAGGCCAAGTTTTATGGCTGTTCAGCTGGCCTGTCTGGCTGCTGATGTAGTGCTACATGCACCGGTAGAAACAGCTGCCCACGGTGTGGTTGCTGGAGTTGTGGAAGCTGCGTTAGTTGCATGGTCGCAGAGCGTGGTTCCTGGAGACTTGCGGCAACTACATCGGTTACCTGGTCGCAGAGAAGAGCTGATGACTATGATGACTGATCGCTCTGAACTGAATGTGATCACTGACGATTGCGAAAGTCAAAGTCAAAGTCATGTTGCAACTGATGGTCAGTCAGTGTGTCTGTCTTGGTGTCGAGCCCCAGCTGGGGCTCATGACAGATGTTTTCTTCTTTGTGAAAGTTGCTGTCCTGTCCATTTGGGGCGCCCTCTCTGATGAGTTGTCGGGTCTGTCATTTGTCAGTCTTAGTCTTGAAAAACAATGAAAGAAGAAAAAATAAACTACTCACGAAATGAACGCTGTGGTGAACGACACAGCTCAATTCCAACGCAATGTCACACGAAATAATTAAATCAAAATAAAAATAAATCGAAATTTATGAAAATCCAATTTAACAATGCAATCGGAAACATTGAAATGGAATCGTAAAATATTTAGTATAGCGAGTGTTGCTTTTACGTCCAACAGATGGCGCTGTTTTTCAAAAGAAGCATGTTTTTACCTGTCACAGGTGTGACATCTATATAATAGGTATATAAAAACGCACGTATTCGAATGCAACGTTGTATCAAAATTTCAAAGCAATCGGCGAAGAACTTTCGGGGATTTAAGAATTTGAACAAACGAACATTTACATTTTTATTTATATAGATAGATTGACATTTTTAATGATTTTAACATCATAAAGTATTAAAATACATTTTTAGTGAGTGACATATTCTTGATGTCTTTTAAATTGTTGCATTATTTATGTGTACTTTGACAATAAGAATATGTCGCGTGTTACCTATGTAACATTGTTGTGGTCACGTGTCTCCTATTCAGTGCGACAAATAACTTCCACGTACGTCTCGGATTCAGCGAATAAGTTATTGAACGCTCACTTTTACACCAGCGAGTACAATTATTATCACGTCCAGTATCGCCGAAAAACTCTTCGGAGCTGGACTATTATAACTTGGTTTCGGACGCAATAGAGGGCACTTTCGCCCAGGGTTCGATTTAACGTGTTCTGTGCGCGTTGCCGCAGAAATGCATTATTTCCGCTGTTTCAACAGTTCGTTGCCACGGTTATTCCTAGGCAACAATCTGTTGGTATTCGATTTGTCGCTGTGGGAACTCAACGATTTCCATTGTAGCCGTTGCGCAGCGATGGACGACGTATAACACGTTACAGTATTAGTATTGACTACAATTAATATTTTAACAACCAATCAACCTGTCACAGGTGTGACATGTATATAATAGGTATATAAAAACACGCGTATTCGAATGCAATGTTGTGTCAAAATTTCAAACAATCGGTGAAGAACTTTCGGGGATTTAGGGTCTTGAACGAACGAACATTTCACTAGATTGGGGTCTGCCGCAAACTCCCAGGTGAGACTAGCATAAGTCTTTACGGATCTAATAAGAACTTTATGGACGGTCAGTTTAATGTTAGCGCTCAATCGCTCACTGTTGAATAGTGAATATACTCTAATGAATGTTCTGAAGGCCTTGGCTTCGATCATTTCTATGTGTAATCTAAAAGCCACTTTCTTATCGAAGATTACACCTAGATATTTTGCACTATTTACAAATGGAATATTTCTTCCATTTAGAGTAAAACAAGACTCAGGCGGTCGACGACCATGAGAGAAGTAGACCCCCCGAGTCTTATCTTCATTAATTTTTATATTCCAGTGCTCACACCAGGTCTCCATTGAGCTGAGACCGCGCTGCAGATTTCTAATAATAAAACCCTAATGGCGATCTGTCGCATACAGACAGGCGTGCTCCGCAAAGAAGGCCAGGTGGACACCATGTGTTTGGGGGGCATCATTTACGTACAAGTTGAAAAGGGTAGGGGAAAGGACAGAACCTTGTGGCAGCCCTGCTTGCATTTCCCTTGGCGTTGACACTTCGCCTTCAACCGAGACCCTGAATTTGCGTTTAGAAAGAAGGGACCCAATAAGTGTGGTCAAACTGTTCGAGAATTCCAATTTTCATAACTTATACAGCAATCCTGAGTGCCACGTGGTATGAAAGGCTTTTTCGATGTCCAAGAACACCGCAGCCGTAGACATTTTGTTGTTGAAATTAAGGGTCACGTGGTCCGCCAGCCTCATACATTGCAATGTCGTGCTGTGACGTGCACGAAAACCAAACTGACTTGCGTTGAGCATGCCTATTTCTTCAATATGTTTTTGGAGGAAATTCAAAATTGCTCTTTTGAATAATTTTCCTGTCGTGGACAGGAGGCTGATTGGACATAAATTTTGAGGGAATTTTGGGTCTTTACCGGGTTTGGGTAAAGTTATTACTTTTGCTTCCTTCCAAGTACTTGGAAAATGAGAAAGCCGAAAGCAATGATTAAATAAATGGGTTAGATGAACCAGCGGTGGCCTTGGAAGGTGCCTGAGGCATTCATTTGGGAGACCGTCAATTCCGTAGGTCCTTTTTAATTTCAGAGATTTTATTAATTTCTGTACGTCGCATGGTCTTATCCTTGAGGGGGTTTTTGTCTACGGTTTCTAGCAGAGCTTGTACTCTAGCCTCCACCTGCCTTTCCTGGTTATCATCTCACAGATCATGCGAGGCGAACTGAATTTCCAAACAGTCGGCAATTGCATTGGCTTTATCAGAAGGGTGAAGTTTAAGGCCCGAAGAACCATGAATAGCAGTTGGTGCCCTTGGTCCGTCTCTCTTTAAGAGAAATTTCGCAATGGGCCATATAACCTGAGGCGTGACTGCAGCCTTACCTATTTTTGTTTCCCACTGTTCAAGTGCCCTTTTTCGGGTCATTCGTCTGATCGATTTGGTGACCCAATTGACTGCCGCTTTACACGCTGGATCCCTGGTTTCTTGCCACAATTTTCTTAGCCTCTGCTTCTATTTTATCAAAAGATCTAGACCAGGTAGGTCGTTGTTTATATCCGAAAGTGTAACTTTACTTGTCGGCAACCTATATGCCGAATCAATAGAAGCTGCAAAGTCGCCTGCCGCTTTGTCGGCTTCTACCCGCGAATTAATTTCTAGTTTATGTGATATTAATTTGTAGGCAAGGCTTTGAAACCCCTCCCAATCTCTACATTTTTCAATGGGTTCCGAAAGATTCCTAATTTTAACGTTATCCAGTATGTGGAATACTATTGGTAGGTGATCTGAATCCAAAATATCAGAGACGATGACATCTGACACTCTGATATTTTTGTGAACCACAGTATCTAACACGTCATCACTTCCCTCAGGGGAATAATGATTGGAGCACTGTGGCGCTGAGATTTCGAAATCACTTTTATCAAATAGGTCAAGGATTTTCAAGCTCTAGGGTTTGGGAAATCTGCTATTCCAAAATGGATGCTTAGCAATCAGTTCACCTGCCAAAATAGTCTTACGTCTAAAGCTTAAGAGCTCAGTGATGTCAGTATCACTCCAGGCTCTGCCTGGAGATTTATAAAGAGTTGCAAGCAGTAATTCACTATTGCCAATTGGTATGCAGACCCCTGTCGCTTCTACTGAATCAAGGGGTTGTAGGTCTACATGGTTATGGTGAATGACTTTTCTGACTGCAATGGCAGTTCCTCCTTTTCTGCCCGAGTGGTGGTCGATTCTATAAAAGTGGTAATTTGGAATAAAGTACCTCTCATGATTTTTCAGATGTGTCTCTGAAAA